TGAAGTCGGTGAGTGCTGCCAAACCTATCCACCACTTCATGATTGACGACGCTCCGCTCTGGGTGTTCGAAGAAATTGAGCAGTGGATGCGCGGGTTCTTTTGGGCGGGCAAAAACAAGGCGAATGGAGGCCAATGTTTGGTCACGTGGAATTTTGTTTGCAAGCAAACATGGCTTGGTAGTCTTGGGGTGCGTGACCTGCGGCTCCAAAGCCTAGCACTGCGTGTGCGTTGGGAGTGGCTACGACGCACTGATCCTGAGAGGACGTGGCAAGGATTATCGATTGCCGTTGATAAGGACGCACGTGCTGTGTTTGATAGCTATTCTGGAGGGATAGATGGATCCACGGTTTTGCAGTTAAGGACATTGCACCATTATTACATGCCCTGGTGGACACGCGCACCGTTAACAAAAGGACGGTGCAGGATGGCCTGGATGAGGATAGGTGGCTGCTGGATTTGAATGGTGATCTGACCTTTGGGAGTCATCTGCAACTCTTGCATCTTAACTTCGCCATTAGTACGGTGATCTGGGATCCTTCCAGGGAAGACACATTCACTTGGCCGGCGGACCCGTCTGGTTGCTACACAGCTCGGTCCACCTATCAAAGATTGTGTCTCGGAGCGGAGAGGGTGCCTTTTGCCTCGTGCATTTGGAAGAGTTGGGCGATGCTACCTCTTGAGCATGCATTGGTTTTTCCCTTGAAGAGGAAAGGGTGATGCAGCAAAGTAGCATAAGTATTTCCCTCAGTTTTGAGAATCAAGGTATCAATCCAGTAGGAGGCTCCTCAAAAGTCCCACACATCTACACAAACAAACAAGAACCTCGCAAACAACGCGATAAAGGGGTTGTCAATCCCTTCACGATAACTTGCGAAAGTGAGATCTGACAGAGATAATATGATAAGATAAATATTTTTGGTATTTGTATGATATAGATTGGAAAGTAAAAGATGCAAATAAAAGTGGATGGAAATCTAATATGATAAAAGATAGACCCGGGGGCCATAGGTTTCACTAGTGGCTTCTCTCAAGATAGCATAATTATTATGGTGGGTGAACAAATTACTGTCGAGCAATTGATAGAAAAGTGCATAGTTATGAGAATATCTAGGCATGATCATGTATATAGGCATCAGGTCCGCAACAAGTAGATCGAAACGATTCTACATCTACTACTATTACTCCACACATCGACCGACTCCTGCCTGCATCTAGAGTATTAAGTTCATAAGAACAGAGTAACACATTAAGCAAGATGACATGATGTAGAGGGATAAACTCATGCAATATGATATAAACCCCATATTTTTATCCTCGATGGAAACAATACAATACGTGCCTTGCCGCCCCTGCTCTCACTGGGAAAGGACACAGCAAGATTGAACCCAAAGCTAAGCACTTCTCCCATTGCAAGAAAGATCAATCTAGTAGGCCAAACCAAACTGATAATTCGAAGACACTTGCAAAGATAACCAATCATACATAAAAGAATTCAGAGGAGATTCAAATATTTCTCGTAGATAAAACTTGATCAGAAACCCACAATTCATGGGATCTCGACAAACACACCGAAAAAAGAGTTACATCGAATAGATCTCCAAGAAGAGGAAGGAGAACTTTGTATTGAGATTCAAAGAGAGAGAATAAGCCATCTAGCTAATAACTATGGACCCGAAGGTCTGTGGTAAACTACTCACAACTCATCGGAGAGGCCTTGGTGGTGATGGAGAGGCCCTCCATGGTCGATTCCCCCTCCGGCGGAGCACCGGCGAAGGCTCCAAGATGGGATCTCGCAGATACAGAAGGTTGCGGCGGTGGAAATAGTTTTTCGTGGTGCTCCTGGATGTTTTCGGGGTACGTGGATATATATAGGTGAAGGAAGTCAGTCAGGGGAGCCACGAGGGGCCCACGAGGGAGGGGGGCGCGCCCACCCTTACTGGGCACGCCGGCCACCCTCGTGGCCTCCTCGGCTGCTTCTTGACGTCCACTCCAATTCTCCTGGATTGCGTTTGTTCCAAAAAGATCGCTACCAAAGGTTTCATTCCGTTTGATATTCCTTTCCTTCGAAACACTAAAATAGGCAAAAAAACAACAATTCGGGCTGGGCCTCCGGTTAGTAGGTTAGTCCCAAAAATGATATAAAAGTGTAGAGTAAAGCCCATAAACATCCAAAACAGTTAAGATAATAGCATGGAACAATAAAAAATTATAGATATGTTGGAGACGTATCAGGCGACCCTCAAATGTAAACTATTTTCCTGGCTTGTGGTGCAACATCGTATCTGGACGTCTGATAGGAGAGCGAGGCATGGCCTGCAGGAGTTGCCTTCGGCTTGCTACACGTGTCTCCAAGAGGAGGACAACGCAGAACACATCTTGGTGCAGTGTGTGTATGCCAGGGAAGTGTGGCACACTATCTGGAACATGATGGGTCTACAGGGGCGTCCTCCAGAGGTGCATGACAGTTTGTTGGATTGGTGGCTGGAGGGTAGGAGCACCCTTAGGAGGAGTTGGAAGCGTGGCTTTGACACCCTTGTCATCGCCACAATCTGGGCTATTTGGAAACAACGTAATGCGAGAGTGTTCAATAGGACTGGCCAACAGCTACAGGCGCATGGGCTGTCCATTGCCATTTTGGATGAGCTCAAGGAGTGGAAGGAGGCTGGTCTAGGTGGAGGAGGGTTCACTACGTTTTGTGTAAACGTAGGAATAGGATAATGAGTGGGGTGTAAGGGTGCGTGCCATAGATGGAGGCTTGATCCATCGCTTGACCTCTTGTACATTGCTTTTTCTCCCTTCTATAAAGATAAGGTATGCCTTTGGTGTACTCTCGAAAAAAAAGAATGCGATGTCAGCTAAACTAACTGAATAGACTATTCAACCATCCAGCTAAAGTATCATGCGCCTGACGCTCTTGATCTGGACAAGAGAACCAAAGAGCTCCTGGAGCAGGTTGGGTTCGGTCCGGTGAGCGAGGAACGCGGGCTCGACCATGGCGCGTGGGTGCCCCTGATGTTCATGTACCCGGAGGCAAACATCCCAGTGTGCCAGCTCTCCGTGCAGACCCACCGCGACGACACCTACCACTACAACCTCGGCAAGGCGCTGGCGCCCCTCAGGGGCGAAGGCGTCCTCGTCTTTGGCTCCGGGAGCACGACACACAACCTCGGCAAGATGGGGCGTGACGACGAGCCGGTGCGACAGTGGGCCTCCAACTTCGACACCTGGCTCAGGGACTCACTTCTCGCCGGAAGGTAATGCTGAGCTGGTGCCTGCTGGCCACGGCCATGACGGTCTTGCAAAGCGATTTCCTCGTGATTGTGACAATCCTTCTCCTGCTTGTGATGGCGTCAGGTACGATGACGTGAAACACTACGAGGAGAAGGCGCCCCATGCCAAGACGGCGCACCCGTCGCCGGAGCATTTCTACCCGCTGCTTGTCACGCTCGGCGTTGCCGGGGACGAGCCTAAGGCAGAGCCCATCCACCATAGCTGGGCTGAAGCTAACATGTCATACGCCTTGTACCATTTCACCACGAAGGACTGACGGCTGCGATCGAGCTTTGCCACACTGGTACGTCTACCCTACGCTGCATTTGGAAATCAGAATGCAAGGTGTTCCATCTCAAAAAAATGTCCACCTTAGGCTTAGGTAGCATTTGGTTTGTAATAAGAGAGACCCAGTAAAGAAGGAATGAACATTGCGATACTGGTCAGTGTGAGGACAAAGACTTGAGAGTGAAGCGAGGACGAGCTCAGGTCGGTGGTGTGAGGATGTGCTAGAGGCCGTGACAGAGGAGTCAGTGCTGGAGTGCTACTCAACATGCCCTAAGTCAGTGATGCTTGAGATGAAAACCATTGTCTTCCTAATGTATTAAATAGAAGACCTAGACTCGTGAAATCTTGAACCACATATGTTTTTTTTCGTTGCAATGCATGAGCCATTTTGCTAGTACAATATTAAAATATGCATCATCTCAGATCTAGTGGGACTGATTTGGCAATGTAAATATTTCTTTCTTGATAAAGTATGTGGGACCTCGAAAGATTTCTTAGAAGATACCCCACGCCATTGATGAACAAGGGTCTCACACCGAACCCATTTTCATTGAAAACGAAAGCAAGCATACAAGGTTCAACATAGTCAAAGATATAGGCAGCAACCCGGCTGAGGGAGTCCTAAGGGAGTCCTGGACTAAGGGGTCCTCGGGCATCCGGGCTATGCGATGTGGGCCGGACTGATGGGCCATGAAGATACAAGATAGGAGAACCTCCCCGTGTCGGGATGGGACTCTCCTTTGCGTGGATGGCAAGCTTGGCGTTCGGATCATGTATTTTCCTTCTTCTGTAACCGGCCCTGTACAACCCTAGATTCCCCCCGTGTCTATATAAACCAGAGGGTTTAGTCCGTAGGGCAAGAACACAATCATACAGGCTAGACATCTAGGGTTTAAGCCATTACGATCTCGAGGTAGATCAACTCTTGTAACCCCTATATTCATCATAGTCAATCAAGCAGGAAGTGTGGTATTACCTCCATTAAGAGGGCCCGAACCTGGGTAAACACCGTGTTCCCTGCCTCCTTGTTACCTTCGATCCTTAGACGCACAGTTCAGGACCCCCTACCCGAGATCTGCCAGTTTTGACACCGACATTGGTGCTGTATCAACCATCCACAACAATTCTGCCCTGAGGGAGACTTTCCTCCCCTGCCAAATCTTGTATTCGACGGTTTCGCACTGTGTGCCAATTCGATTGGTCAGCTAGAACAGATCGACAACTATGCCCCTGGTCATCAGATCAGTTTCAGAAACCTAAACTACGTCGCTGATATCCGAGAAGACATGATCTTCCAAGGGTTCGCGGTCTCAACCGCAGTTCCAGCCTCAGATCTGGAACTCCTCACCGAGTCCGAAGACGGGAGCTTAGAGCTCACCGGGCTCCGTGCGGCTATAGAGCTCAACACCTGGCTCAGGGACTCGCTTCTCGCTCGGAGGTAATGCTGAGCTGGTGCCTGGTGGCCACAGCCACGACGGACTTGCAAAGCAATCGCCTCGTGATATCGCGACAACTTGCATTGCTTGTCATGGCTGCTAGGTACGACAACGTGAACAACTATGAGGAGAAGATGCCGCACGCCAAGACGGTGCACCCGTCGCCGGAGCATTTCTACCCGCCGCACGTCGCGCTCGGCGCCATCGGGGACAAGCCCAAGGCGGAGCTCATCCACCATAGCTGGGCCGAAGCCAACATGTCATACGCCTCATACCATTTCACCACGAAGGACTAGGACTGACGGCCGCGAATCCCTAAAAAAAGGCCTGACAGCCGTGATCAAGCTTTGCCGCACTGGTACATTCACCCTATGTTGCATTGGAAATAGGAATGCAAGATGTCCCAGCTCAAAAAAACGGCCACCCTGGGCTCACATAGCGGTTGGTTTGTAATAAGAGAGACGCAGTAGATAAGGAATGAACGTTTGACTTTAGAGTGAAGCAAGGACTCGGGTCGGTGGTGTGAGAATGTGCTAGAGGTCATGACAGCGGAGTCAATGCTGGAGTGCTACTCAACATGCCCTAAGTCGGTGATGCTTGAGATGAAAACCATTGTCTTCCTAATGTATTAAATAGAAGACCTGGACTCGTGAAATCTTGAACCACATATGTTTTTTTCCGATGCAATGCATGAGCAATTTTGCTAGTATAACATTAAAATATGCATCATCTCAGATCTAGTGGGACTGATTTGGCAGTGTAAATATTTCTTTCCTGATAAGGTATATGGGACCTCGAAAGATTTCTTAGAAGAAAGATAACCCCACACCCTCGATGAACAGGGGTCTCGCACAGAACCCATTTTCATTGGAAACGAAAGCAAGCATACAAGGTTCAACATAGTCAAAGAGATAGGCAGCAACCCAGCTCCATATGTCCGTTGTAAATGGTAAAGTAAAATTAAAGATAGCTACATGTTCAACATATAGCTATCTTGGCATCCACTGTCACACAAATGAACAACAAGCTGGCCCTTCATTCTAGTTTATTATTCGGGTTATCTCAAATGTAACTTACTCTACACAGGTTCCTGGTTTTGTACAGTCATCTTCGAAGCCACATGAGCATTTGGAGCAGGTATCAAGCATGTCATTGTAAAACGCTGAGAGGGATAAACAGCAAGTAGGAGACCTCATAGCGTGAAATTGTGAGTAGGTACAAGTCACAGTCCATGTCACTGCAAAATAAAACAAACTGTCAGATATGCATGCTAGTTACTGAGATATTATTTCCATGCATCAAGAAATTAGACAATGGCTTACTATGGGCTTGAGTTTTCCTACTTCTATCTAATGTAGTGAACTTTGTAGGTTCATCTAAGTTGATTGCAGGTCCACAAGTATACCCGGGAGAGTGAAATTCACAGGCAATTCCAAGGTCTTGGTTGTGGTCCCTGATTAACCAACCGAAACTTCAAAGGAGGCCACATCATTAGCAGGGTCCTGTGCCAGTGAGTCGGGGACTCCTCCTTTGCAACAGTTGGCACTCTACTTATTGGAAGGTGCCCCGGGAAGCAGGTCGACTATCTCCGGGTTCAGCTTGCAACTGTGAGGGATAATGTCTCTGAATTTGGAGCAATCGCCTTGCTGTGTAGCCTATCCACGTTGCACATACCAGATTACCTCCTTCTACACCAGATTACCACCTTGCACAATGAACATTAATAGAGTAACATATAAAATTTCAACAATATATGTCATATATCATGAAAAATAAAAAGGTATAATCAATAAAAACATAATTTTAGTTGGCAAATAAAGTCTCAATACACCATATATATGTGATTATATGATGCAAATACGATTATAATGTACTCAATTATAAATAACTATTGCATAAATACAATGTGGGGAAGTGAGCAGAAGGGGGGGCATATGCCCCCTATCCATGCTGGTTTTTGGTTCAGAAAATCCAATTTTTTGTAATTTATTTGGGTTATGTCAAATGTAACTTACTCTACACAGGTTCCTGGTTTTGTACTGCTATCTTGGCAGCCACATGAGCATTTGGGGCAGGTAACAAGTGTATCGTTGTACAACGCGCTGAGAGATAAGCAACACGCTGGATACGTCAGAGCGTGAAACTGTGAGTAGGTACAAGTCACAGTCCATGTCACTATAAAAATAAAATAAACAGTCAGATATGCATGCTAGTTACTGAGATATTCTTTCCATGCATCAAGAAATTAGACAATGGCTTACTGTGGGCTTGAGATTTCATCTTTCCATCTGGTGTAGTGAACTTTGTAGGTTCATCTAACTTGGTTGCAGGCCCACAGGTATACCCTGGACCAGGGGCCTTCAAAGTGAAATTCACAGGCAATTCCAGGGTCTTGGTTGTGGTCCCTGATCGACCAACTGAAACTTCAAAGGAGGCCACAGTATTAGCAGGGTCTTGTGCCAGTGAGCTAAGGACTCCTCCTTTGCAGCAGTTGGCCCTCTTCCTATTGGAAGGTGCCCCGGGAAGCAAGTCGACTATCTCCGGGTTCACCTTGCAGCTGTGAGGGATAATCTCTTTGAATTTCGAGCAATCACCTTGCTCTGTAGCCTGTCCACCTTGCACATACCAGATTACCTCCTTTGACCACACCCACCCAAGCTTCCATCCCGGTGGCTGAATGTGGTGGTACTGCTGAAAGTTGAATAGTGAAACCTCAGCCTGGAGAAATTACATCATGTCAGCATTTGGAAAGTAGAGTAAGTGGGAAGAGTATAAACATTTATTGCACTGGCCGTTGAACTGGAAATATAGCTGGTGGATGGATAGTTCAAACAACCGAAAGGTACAGTCTCATGCCCGAGCAGTCATTGTTTGCTGGTAATTTCATTATTGTAATTTCCTTGACTAGTGCTAGAGATACATATGCCCAATGTTTTTTTCTCTTCCTTTATAAATTGTATCCTGAACATTCTACAGTGTGAAAATAAAATTTTCTTTCCTATTGTGGTGAAAAGCCGGTGAAATGATTGTTTATTTTCCAACTTACGTGGCAAATAAGATTTATAGAAGGATTATTGTAATCACTTGGAGAGGAAAAGATTTGCTTATGCATATTTCATAATGTGGAATTGTAGAGACATTATTGTTGTTCAATAAGTGATTCATCCGTACCAAATAGCCATCTGGAACCCAGCTCCTCACATCCCATCTGATTGTGATGTTCGCCCGTTGGATCAAGGCCTAAGGGGGTCCTAGGCTCCTGCGGAAAACAACAGAGGAACATTTGGGAGGACAAAGCGGCAAAGGAAAAGTTCTGGTCTTATTACAGAGGTAGGAAGAAGAAGAGAGGAGGAGGAGGAGGAGGAGGAGGAGGTAGGAAAAGCTCTCGACCTGGTGAACCAACCAACAATTCCAGGGCGAGCAGAAGGAGGAGCAACGCAGGAGGAGGAGACATGGCTCTTGCTCAAGAACAGAGAGTGCTCTCCAAGCTCGCTCCTAGTCAGCTGATGTCGTGTGTGTCAGGCACAGGTAAAAGTGGCGTGGGATGGACACGGCCGGGCACAGGCGGGGCGATTCCTTTCGTTCCCTCCATGCCAACGATGCCGTGTGTGTGGCCCCCGTCACCATCTTCTCTGCTGGCAGACTATCAATCTGTAAGCTTGGTCACCACGGGGAAGTCACCGTACACGTTTTGTATCTCGGAGTAGCCACACGTTCCGTGAGTTGCTGCGACATGCAGGAACGAACAAAGGGTGAGTTCTTTGTCACATACAATTGGTTTTCTACAAGAACATAGGCATTAGACGAAAGTCAATTCTTAGATATCCCACTAATGAAAAAAGTTTAGCAGCATTTTACACATGGATTGTATCCTTCCTTCCTCTCCCTTTATGCCGGGAGCATTCAGGAGGATAAAATAACAAAACTACTAGCGACAAATGTTTAGTCTCTTATTGTAACTTGTAAGTGCCCTCGAGTTAACATAGGTCATGAAAGATTATTAAAGCGGATCATCTTTGGGGAATTCAATGACAACGACACCGTGTGTGTGGCCCCCATCACCATCTTCTCTGCTGGCAGACTATCAATCTGTAAGCTTGGTCACCACGGGTCAGATGTGTGCTTTCCTCGGCGCCTTCTGCAAATCAATACCCATGATGTTGAACAATCTGTGGACATTTTGCCACAGAGGTACAAAGCCGTGGGGAAGTCACCGTACCCGTTCTGTATCTCGGAGTAGCCACACGTTCCATGAGTCGCTGCGACATGCAGGAACGAACAAAGGGTGAGTTCTTTGTCACATACAATTGGTTTTCTACCAGAACATAGGCATTAGGCGAAAGTAAATTCTTGGATATCCCATTAACATAATTTTGCACGCACTAATGAAAAAAATTTAGCAGCATTTTACACATGGATATGAATGAGATTCTTGATAGGCCATACACAGCAGAGGAGGTGAGAGTGGTGTTGTTTCAGATGGCACCATCGAAGGCCCCGGGGGTGGATGGATTTACGGTGGGTTTTTTCCAGCGGCATTGGAGCTTGATCAAGGATGACATCATTCAGGCTGTGTTGGATTTTCTTCATGGGGGCGAGTTACCAGCGGGGATGAACGACACAACTATCACGCTTATTCCTAAGGTGAGACACCCCCAGTGCATTAATCAATATAGACCGATCCCTCTCTGTCCTGTACATGTACAAAATTGCAGCCAAGTGTATAGCAAACGGGTTGAGGATCTTTTTGGATGACATAATAGGAGGAGAACAAAGTGCATTCGTACCAGGTCGCCTGATTACGGATAACATCCTTATTGCCTATGAGAGTGTTCATGAGATGAGAAAGAGGAGGAAAGGAAAAAATAGTGTGTGTGCGGTGAAACTAGATATGATGAAAGCATACGACCGTGTTGAATGGCACTACATAGAAACAATTATGAAATGTCTTGGCTTCAGCACGTCCTTTATTTGACTCATCTTGAAGTGTGTTTTTTCGGTAAGGTTTGCTGTCCGTGTGAATGGGGAGCTTTTACCGTTCTCTTCCCCTTCGAGGGGCTTAAGGCAAGGGGACCCGGCGTCGCCTTATTTGTTCTTGTTATGTGCGGAGGGTTTTACCACTTTGCTCAATAACTTTGGCAGACCGTACGTGGACAAAGGTATAAGGGTGAGTCTGAACTCACCTTGGATCAATCACTTGCTTTTTGCGGACGATAGTTTGATATTCATGCAAGCAAAACAGCAAAGTGCGCGACGTCTGAATGATATTCTCAGAATTTACGGAGATTGCTCGGGT